TAATTGCTAGCCTGCGCCCTTATTCCGCTCGTTCGTCGACGAAATAAACGAGGGTGGAAAAGCGGAAAAACGAGAGATAATCCCCTACCACGCGGTCAATCTTGTTATCGTTTGCGTTTCGGATGCAACGCCCCGATGTAATTTACGTGTTTCATGAAATATATAAAAGAATTTAATCAGAAATGAACATATCAATCTTGCTTTTTCTCCTAACATTAGGTTGCATTTTTCACTAAATTTACCGATACTTCCCGATGATGGTTAGTTAAGTTTGTTCTGTATTTCTGTATTTTGCGCGACAAATTTGATGCCAAGTTATGAATTTCTAGATTATATTTAATTTTGTTGTGTTAATTTCTATATTTTACACGTCGGAGATCATTAACTACGTATCCTAACGTAAATCTAAATCGTCACTTGCGAAACACTATCCCTTGAGTTGGACGAGACGACTTTTACGAATCCGTCCATTATAATATTTAATTATTTTCGTACAATAATTATCGAGCTAGCTTCGTTTCCTACTAAAAAATCTACTAAATCGACTTTCCTCTCAAACCCTGAAAGAAGAAAAGACCAACGGAGTCCAGCGCCTAAGAGAAGAACCGATAAAAATCTCCAAAGAATTTCTCGTCTGCTCCTGTCGTAGTACCACTATCCTCTTCCTCCGTTGAGGTGTTTTGCCTCGTCGTTGCCACCCTTGGCGAAAGGGTTGCGCGAGATGGCGACTGCTGCTGCTAGGTTCTTGGAACGGTCAGGCAATTACGCGAACCCTCGAATGACGATGACGTCGCGTTATTCCGCTGACGCGGCATGCCTATCTTGCGCCTCCGCTTATCTGCGAAAGGCGAGCTGGGTGGTGTATTGGTGAGGGCTGCGGCTGGCGAAGATATAAAAGGGGGAAAGGCGTGGCGGGGTGCAGCTGATGCGCCACGTATCAGCCACCTATATCCTTGTCCGGCTTATATTGCCAGGAGGGATAATAGCACGGGGGCGCCGGAACGGTTTCATTACACGGCTTCCCGAGGGATAATATCCTCGGATATCTCGCTGGCCGTCCCCGCAGGCTTCAAATTCCGTACCAGCGACCCTCCGCCGTCAGCGCGTCACCACCGCTAACCCCCCTTCTTCCAGGAGACCCGCAACCCCTTCACGAAACGATGGAGGAAATTGTCGGCACGCCGAGGGGCCGGTTCGATCACGGAAAATGGCCGATCTCGATGATCCAGTTTTCATTTTCTGCGTTTTCGTTAATATTTCATTTCAGTGAGATTCAGATGAACGTGAACATTTAGTAAGGTAAGAGGTCGACTAGAGGGGTAGTTGTAGTTGTAGATGGTATAGGTATATAGTTCTAGCGTGATTTAGGCGAAGACAGGCGAACAGAAAGAATGATTTGGGTAGCTTTAGGGGTTAGTTTGGGGGTTAGCATTTTAATTGCAGCGGTGATTTAGGGATTTAGGTAATGATAGGTGACTGCGGGAAATTTGTTGAATCGTTTATCGTGGCTGGAGTTGTGATTCTAGTAGGATGTGCGGAATTTCAGGACATCTTTTAATAGAATAGTTTAGAGGAGTAACCACATTTAGTATTTAACTCTAGTGGGATTTAGGCGAAGATAAGTGACAAAGGGAATTTTTAGAATTGCTTATAGGGTTAGTTATAGCGATTTATTTGTAATGGGAATGGTGAGTGACGGAGAAAACTTTTTGGAGTTGATTGGAGGATTAGTTGGAACTAATATTTCTTTGTAGGGAAATTTAGATGAATGTTAGATGAAAGGAGAATTCTTTAGGGTTCGTTAGAGAGTTAATTATTAATATATACAAAAATATACGAAATATATATTACGCTCTTCGTAGGGCGAAACAAATTTCTTACATAATTATATAAAGAAGGAGCACAATGCATGAGAAACGAGAAAGTAAAGTGAAATGTGAGAAAAGTTTCCCTCGTGGAAAATTTTGGTAATGAAATTATGAATATTCCCGCGCGAAATCGATGTTGATAAATCTCGTTAAGGTGTTTGTTTTTTGCATTAAATTGGCGTTTATCGGGATCACGTATTCCAATGCGAGCTGAATATCGGATGCAGTTTTGAAATCGCGTGCACGTAATTAATTCCAACGAAATTGTCAAAACTGATTAACACTCGACTCCGATTACAAATTCACCAGAAATTACCGCGGCGCGCCAGCTCGTTGGTTAATAAAACATTACCAATAATTAAGCAGTTCAGAATTCACATTGATCAACTCCATAAATTGAAAAGAAGAAAAAAGAGGATGATGTTGCAAACATTATCTTTTTAAATTTGCTTTGGGATTTCCTATTATTTGTGTCTTCTTCTGGTAGTAAAGCAAATAATTTGCTTCTTTCTAAGAATTGAACGTTAATCGTGTACTTACGTAATGAAATTGAGAAATTAAAAGAAAGCTAAGTTGATCGGATTGACCGAGAGCCTCGATTCAGATTAACTAATTAAAATCATTTTACAATTTACGTTTCGTCACTTTCAAATCTATTTTATTAGAACATTACAGTGAAAAAATCCTGGTTATCCTTTTTTATTTCAAATTTCGAACTACCCTCTGTAAAGTGCCTCATCCCTGCTTAATTCTCATATTCATCGTTCGAAATCAGCGAAACGGTTCATCGATAATCTCCCACAGTCATTCCACCCTGTCAATCCCCGAAACAACCCTTTCACTCAATCCTGCCTCTACGATCAACAAAAAAACCTACATCTATATCCCCTGCACCAGAAAACAACAAAACAAAGATCAATCTATAGTACTCGAAACACGAGTCTAGCACAAAAGGAAGCACGTGAAAGCAAGGTATGTCAACCACTCGATCTAGCACCCTTCCTAATCGTGCCCATCGTTTCTAAGTCAGTTTACATTCGCTCAATAACTCGTCTTTTTTCCTTTTCTTTTTTTCTTTTTTCATGGAACTTATGTTCTCAATGGTATATTGAGCCGCAAAGTGTTTTCTATTCGAGGGTCGTCGTGATCTTTCTAATGGTGAAGGTTTTTAGCACTAATTAAAAACCAACTTGGAATTATATTCTGAGACATCTCTCTTATGTATTTTCTTTATCGTATTAAGAGAATTTTCATTCACAAAGGAGTTAAAGTTATTCGGTTATTATAGAGAAAAAATCGTGACTCAGAAAACATTATATTGAAGAGAAATGAAAATGAAAAACTCTGTTCTGCAATTTCTATTTTGTAACGTGTCTCTTTACCTTATCAAGAATATTTTTTATAGAACAAATGATATACCTTCTTGCAAAATTGTTCTTTTACGAAGAGATTAAACGTTAGCTATTTCCCCATTATAGAAGAAGGTCGTGATTCAGGAAAAGATCATAGGACGCTCCATATTAAAATTACATAGAGCTAAGAAGTTCTCTTCCGAGAGATCTATTCCGAATGTGTTCTGTTCTCTTCGTTAAAAAAATTTATTTTTACGAAGAGCCGCGAGTTATTTCTCTATTATGGAAAAGGATCATGACGCGAAAGTCGTATTAGAAATACGAAAACGAAGAAAAAATGTATCGTACCACGGTTTCTGTCGAAGTTACCGAGTTCTCGCGGAACAAGAAATTAAATCAATCCCGCGAGGCAAACGGGGGGTCACAAAAGGCGAAAGAGTGGGCGGCGATAGAAACGAAACTCTTCGCTGGGCCTGGAAGAAGTCTCACGAGGTCGGCCGGTAAAAAGAGGAGCGAGAGAGAAAGAGAGGTGAAGAGAGGCCACTGTGCAAAAGCTTTTCCCCCGGCCTTTGGTCGGCGGCCTTTGATGATCCCATGCGCTAGTACAATACGCGATCGTGCTCGTGCGCATTGCGATTAGTGTTTTTAATGCGCACATTGTATAAAGAGAAGGGCCCCGTTTCCCGTATCAGATGCGAGGTGGCCCACCGAGGGACCAGTTATTAGGCCTCTGACAGGCCCATAATCCCGTCGGCTCTCCTAACGAAAAATATAATGCCCATTAGCGGAGATCTTTTGAGAGGGTTGCCGTGTGTGTGCCTGCCCTGGGATATTTTCTTTTGCCTCCTACTACTCAGTTCAATTCCCTTCTCCTTTGATCTCTGTCTTCTTCTTCTTCTTCGTCTCTCTTTTTCTTTTTTTCTTATGCTCTACGGTAAACTAGTATTCGTCGTCTCGTTCCATTTTGCCACCCTTTGCCAGCTCTCGCTCCCTAGATCGAGTCTAGCTTTATAGCCGATGCGTGCCACTGGGTGCTACCGGAAAACGCGTGCTAAGCGTTTCGAATGGGATCACCTCCGAAACGACGCTAATCTGCGGCTGCGATCTCTTTCGGGCATGTTGGCACTCTTTGACTCGTGATACAGCTACGTACGAGCACTTGGCGACGTGGGTTCTTGAAGTAACTGAAACGTTAACGTTAACGTTTAAGGACTTCCCTTTTAGGTACAGCGAAATAGTGGTTATTGCGCTGTGGTATTCTAACTTTCTTATATTTAAGCTTGTATAAGGCTGGAACATTGTTGCACGTCGGTGAAACAACTTCAAACAAATTTTGCGGATCTCGATGTGCCACAGAAAAATATGTAATTTTTATAATCTTTACATATATGTCTTTATATTTGTAATTTTACGTCGATTTACGCGTTAATCAGTCGAAATAAATTTTTATGATTTCTTTTTGATTGCCAAATTAAAAGATAGCTTTACGCATTTATTATGAGAATATTATTAGATTATGTCCGGTTATTGTTAACCACTTAGTTGTTGCGATCTCTTTGAAAAACGCGTGCCTAAATTAAATTAAGTTACTTTTTATAAGCGACAGTATAATCTCAAAGCCATTCTGAGCCGAAGGGGTGACAATGGACAATTTAACACTCCCTTCCTATGAAATTACGATATTGTCTAGCTAATTGCATAACTGATTTCAAACAGTATGTCACGATACGTGTAAATATAGCTCAAATTTCTAATATGCTCGATACTTTCTCTGTTCCAGCCGAAATGCAGAACCAGAAACTGGAAAAGCAATTCCAGGAGGATATTTCACGTAAGTTAATCATGGTTAACCTAGTCGAAAATATGGTAACAGTTCGCGATGGAAAAAGGTTCTTTCGAAGCGGATGCAAGGCATCGTCCATAGCTTCCAGCCTCTTGCTTCCATTGTGCAGGGCCGACAGCAAAAGAACGAAGAATATTACGTAACATATTCCAGCTCGTTCAACCATGAAAACCCCTGTCGGTTATTATATTTAATAGACCTAACCGATTTTGCAACATCTGCTTTTCCTGCGTCGGTACAACGCGTGGCCGGTTTTTGAAAAGCGAAAGCTCGACCCGCATTGATTATCTCGAAAGGAAACAGGAACTTGTTTCGTTCAGTTCTTGAAGCTGAATTGGACGACACGCAGTGAAAATAGTTTCCACACTCTCGAATAATTCTCAAATGAAGTTTCGTTCCTGCCGTTTTGTTGTTCTTTTTCGACTAAAGTGGAGGAATTAAAGAAAAATACGGAAAACGTTAGATTAAAGAAGTTCAGAAATTTTTCAACGATTCTAAATGTTTCTGGCATGTGGGAGGAAGAATTACTTTTTTTTCAATTACGTATTAATAACGCGAACCAATATTAATCGGTTAATCCTGGAGCATTTGATTATCGAAGTGTGTCCTTGATTTTCTGATAGAAGTAACTTTGCAGTCCAAACCATATGATTCGTGGAATATTTATGATTAATTATATTTAACTATTTAATGTATACAGCAATTTTAATGGATAAAGTAACGCGTGCTCGTAATCAAAATTGTTTAGATACGGTAGATTCACATCGAACGGTAACAAATGCAAGTACGATCGTCATTGAAAATTGTACGGAAACGTGGGACACGAGGTCGAATGATTTTATTGTTAAATTAGAATGTTAAGTGATGTTGATGCACGGCCCGGCAGAGATGTAATGAATACCATACGCGGTTATTAATTCCGTCGATAATATGTAAAGCATATTAATGTTGCGAATCCGATTGTAGTTTCATTTCAATGACTACGAATGATAATGATGATCGTTAATTATGACACGAATTGCAAATCGAATGTCCTAAGGGGGCTTAGCAAGCACAAACAGATTGTCAATGCGTTCGTTTGATACCGTTTAATGCCTGCTAGCGCCGAAGTTGTCAAGAACAATCGCGCATTAACTACACGATCCGAATATTAGTAATTGATTTCTCCAATAAAGATAAATCCCCTCTTGCGACTATTTCATAAAATATCTCCAAATATTTCTTCCATCTCGTCATCGTTCGCTATTAAATTAAAATACAGGCTTCTCAAAAGCCAAACTGACCGACTCCACTTTCTATAAAGTCCCCTATTTACGAGCCACGTACCTACGCGTGTGGTTACTGTTCAAAAAACAGAGGATATTCCTCTACACATTTATTTATCACAAAGACGTGACACAAATAACCGCAAATTCCAAGTTAAATTTTAGAAAACGCTTGCATTTTAATCTCTGTAGCTGATCAGCATGGTCTCCGAGAAGCTCGTACGTTTCATCAGAAAAGTTTTCGACATTACGTTCGTCTCTACTAAATTCTCTAAATTCTCAGAGTAGGAACACTCGGTAGAAACAGAAAAAAAAGGAAGAAAAAAAGAAAAACTATTCGCACTTTCACTGGTCGTACTCGTAGCCCGAGATACATCGAACATGCTCGGTACACGTATCAGGGGCGAGCTGCGAGCGCGCAGGGTGCGTAGAAACGCGCGCTGGGGTGAGTAATGTCGGGAAATGCAGCTAACGAAGTTTACGAAGACACTTAACGGAATTACGCCCTCGCTAGCAATGGCCTCTGCGAGTGCTGCTTTCCCTCCGTGTGTCGGTGAATTCCCTTCTCTCATAGTCTCTCTCTCTCTCTCTCTCTCTCTCCCTCTTCTTCCCTTTCTCTTTCTCTCCCTCTTGCCACCCTTCGTAGTCGTTTCCCTTTCTGGTGGCAGGGGATCCGTCGCGTTAATTACCGCGAGCGGAGGCAAGAAGCCGGGGAAAATCGCGGCGAGAGAGCGCATCATCGTCGTCCTCGGTGAATATAGTCCAGGAACAGGCGAGGCCTGGCTGGCTGGCTGGCTGGCTGACGAAAGGTCGTGGAAGGAAAAGCAGCTGCTAGAAAGCAGGGATGGGTGAGAGAGTGGCGTGGGTGGGCGACGTTGGGTGGGCTGAGGGTGACTCTCGGGGCGAAACGAGGGAGGTTGGCTCGGTTTTGCGTCGAAGAAGGGTGTTATTGACATGGTGGGTGTCGCGTCGTCGGCCATCTTGGCCTGCCTGCACCCTCTCCTCCGCTCAGAGTCTCTCTCTGTACCGAGCTCGATCCCCCCATTTCCCGTCTACCTTTCGCACCCTAACCTCTTGCTCGCTCACACAGCCCACGAACGAACGTTCCGTCTCGCTCGCGTCCAGGACATCCTTGTGTCCCCCTTGTGTCGAGTGACATTCGGGCTATACGCCCGGCCTAACCTGCCCGACAGACGCCCTGGGCCACCCTTTTCGACCAACCCCGGCGACGAGCTCCGTGGGTCCCGGGGGTTGCTTGTCGCCATGGCGACCGAACCCTCCTCGCCCAACCCCCGTCGACCAAACACCGGTTCCTGTCCCTCGGTACACACTTCCCTCTTCGTTTCTCGCTGTCTCTTTGCTTCCTCCTCGAACCATTTCCTCCACTACGATTTTTCGTTTTCTCCAAGGGGTAGTATTAGTGCTACAAGTTTGCTGTAGTATAGTGGTAGATCATCCGCGATTCTTCGAATTCTTGCGCCGTACACTGTTCCACGTTGAAACTCTCTTCGATCTCGTCTATTTTATGAGCTTTCATTTTGTTCTGCTTTCTAATGAGTTTTATAGTATCGCAAGGCTCTTTATAGTTTTCAAAGTTTTTCTTTCTTCGAGTAGGGACAGCATTAGCGTTAGTGGTATTAGTTGACGTAGAATTCCTGCGTCATACACCTCATCTCTGGTTACTCGTTTTTTCTATCTTCATCTATTTCCCGAGTTTTAATTTTCTTCTTCTTTCTAGTGATTTTCTTACTACTTGGCCGCTTTTCGGTCATTCGAATTCTTGCACCATTTCCAACTTTCCATTTTGTTCTTTCTAATGGTTTTCTTAGAATTGGATGGTCTTCCGTCATTTCCCGATTTTTCCCTTCCTCCAAGCAGAGCTAACGACAGTAATCGACATATGTACCGACAAATCATTCACGATTCTTCCAATTCTCCTCCCGTCCATCTTATTCCTTCAAACTTGTCCATTTTCTGAGTTTTAGTTTTCTGTTCTTCCATCTGATGGTTTTTCTGCGTTTTTCTTTCCGACCGGTTTTTCATCCCTTTTTCTTTCCGTTCAACGTAATATCGACGTGGTTGCCAGGTTCTCTGTGTCTCATTTTCACTCGGAGCTAATGTTTTCTTGGTTCGAGAAAAAGTAATATAGCTGGGAGAAAAGTATTTCCAACGCTGAAAGTATTTCTTTGCCTCCCCGATCCCATCCCACTTTAATCCCAACGCTCCTCTCGCTACTTTTCCTTTTATTTATGTATTTGCTCGACCTATTTCTTCACTTTCCGCCAGTAACCGTATCTCGATCCGACTAAGGCAGGCATTTTTCTCCCCTGCGTATTTGCTTTGCCCTTAAGCATTCTCGATTAGAAACTTCGGCTCTTTTCTCATCTTTTCTTCGTTTCTTATTTTCTCGTTATTTTATCAAAATAGTTTTGATATTCTTCTTAAATCTTATTAGATCGCAACATACAAAGATTTTTACTTTTTTACTATTCATTTTCATTGATTACTAGAATTTAATAAAGTATCTTAAGTAAAGTTAATTTTTTTAAGGCCGTTAATTTTCGAAAGATACTTTTGTTCCTTTCGTAAATACTAGATGTTATTAAAAAATCGTTAGCAACTTAGCTAACAAGCAAAAATCGTGTTACAACCTTTGAAATTACAATTTCCTTTAGAATCTCAAAGTATATAAAGGAAACCTCCTAATATAGCTACGATTTTGTCTCATCCGTATCATTTTCATCTCATCGATCGTCTTGTGGTATTTGCATTGTTGAATTTTCCGCTATATTTGTCCCACGTGTTTCATAAATAATTCTACAAACTAGATTCGGATTCTTGGCATACTCCTTTGAATTTCTCATAACCGATTCGTCCACTTCTCATCGCAGCTTCTCACATCGACTGGTTTCTCAGTGAGAAGTTTTAGCTGAACGATTTTTTATTTAAATTTCTCATAAACTCTTATCGATAACCGTACGCTTACAAACGTACGCGTTTCTCGACGCAATGCAGATTAAGAATCTGGAACGTTCAAACGTGCATCTCATACGTTACAACGTAATGCACTCTCTTTTTCTCAATTTTTCCTCTTCCGCGTTCTCTTCATCCTAGCAAAGGCAACGCACACAGGGATGAGGTCACTGGGTGGTTGTAGAAGCAGAGGCTCGTGCTAATAACGTTTCTGTACGACACGGGGGATGCTATCCCGGATGCCGCATTCTCGTCGACTCTTTGCCTGTTTTCTTCACGGAACGAAGAGGCCTCGATCGCCAGCAACCCCCTTTGTTTGGCCGCCTCCACTCGCTCGGTCTTTTCTACGCCGTGAACTATTGCCGAGGATTGCGATCACGTCGCCCCTATTTGCCCAGGAATGTAATGATTCCACGTTGCTTTTATTCCGCCAAAGAAATGGCGTATATTCAACCACCATTCGCGTAGCTTCCATTGCTGCAATTTTAATTCTTTCTGGCTTTACGTGGAAAGACAGACAATTGATGTTCCATTTCATTCATTTCCTTACAATTTAGTCTTCTGCACCATGAATTAATTTTGGTACGTCAACAGGTGAAAATTTAATAAAATTGGCTCTTTTGACATCTTTTTATTTAGACATAATATGATCGAGATTCTCAAATAGCGGAATTGAAAATAATACTTTTCATTATGAAATATTAATTGAAACGTAGGATATCCTTTTTGCGTTATAACTTAGAGTAGCTG